TGTTGTGTTTAAGTTATGTTATATGTTTCATTGTTAATTAATCGTTATTATTTTCTTATAACATCTTATAATTTAGGGATCTTTACATAAATAGCCGGTCATATTCATTGTTTACTCTTTTTAGCCATATGCATAGATTATACATTCATTATACACAATTATACACATATAATATATAAATTATATATACATTATACCTCCACCGGCTATTTTTAGTTTAAGCGGTTGGGTGGACGGCTATTTGGGTTAATTATTCTATAATTGAATAGCAATATACATATATTTCCCTTGATAGGTATGTGATTATGAAGCANATTTCCCTTGATAGGTATGAGATTATGAAGCAATAGATGTGTTTGAGGAGCGGTTAGGCAAGGCTGAGGAGTATTTAAAGACACATTCAAAAAAGGTGAAAAATCGTTGGATAATATTAATGGAAGTAAAACTTACTCTGCAGATGTTTTGAACCATCCAATTGCTGTCAAATGTTTAAATGTTTAGAATCTAATTATCTCCCATGTTATACATATATTTTCTCATATGCTTTATTCTAAAATTTCTTTTGTTAAGTTCATTAGTATCTTGCAATTTATAATCTCATGTGTAAGAGATCTAATATTTAGTCGTAAGAGATCTCTTATACTTTATATATCAATCTCTTGTGTGAACAGAAATATCTCCTATATAGCAGCAGAAGAATCTCCTGCATTTTATATTAATATCTTCTACAGTTTACTACACAAATCTCCTGCTTCAAATCGCCATGGTCGCAAGAGATCTATATCAAGGTCGTAAGAGATCATTAGTTATTCATAAGAGATTAAGACCATAATATACACATTATCTTTCTTTCATTGTAAATTGGAGTTAGTATGGATAATTACTTGACAAGCATGATCGCACTTACTACTAACTAAATTTGGAAGTTTCAAAAAGATAAATTGTGTTGTAGTTAAAAAAATAGTAAATATAATAAAGGATGACCACTGAATATAACTTGAGAGATCTATTCATGGTCGCAAGAGAGCTGTATCATGGTCGTAAGAGATCATTATTTTTTTCATAAGAGATTTAGACCATAATATACGCATTGTCTTTCTTTCGTTGTCATTTGGGATTATTATGAATAATTACTTAACAAGCATGATCGCACTTACTACCAACTGAATTTGGAAGTGTCAAAACGTTAAATTGTGTTTTAATTAAAAAATAATAAACATAATAAAGGGTGACAAATAAATATAACTTGAGAGATCTACTCATAGTCGCAAGAGATCTATATCATAGTCGTAAGAGATCATTAGTTGTTCATAAGAGATTAAGACCATAATATATGCTAGGGGTGTCGATGGTTTAGTTCGGCCGGTTATTTTATAAAATTTATACCATATCAATTTTCGCTTATTCTATTATGTATAACCAAAATTAGACTTTTCGAAACCATCATAATCATGTCGGTTTCTCTTCGGTATCGGTACAGTTCGGTTAATTTTCAGTATTTTTTTAAAATATCATATAAAATTCACTAGTAGAAGTAGAATGCAATAACATGTGTTCTTTTCGAATATCCATTGACACCCCTAATATACGCATTATCTTTCAACAAAATTTAGACGTTTCACTAAGATAAGTTGTATTTTATTAAAAAATAATAAACATAATAAAGGGTAACCACTAAATATAACTTGAGAGATCTACTCATGGTCGCAAGAGATCTGTATCATGGTCATAAGAGATCATTAGTTGTTCATAAGAGATTAACACCATAATATACGCATTATCTTTCTTTCGTTGTAACTTGGAGTTATTATGAATAATTACTTAACAAGCATGATCGCACTTACTATCAACTAAATTTAGACGTTTCATTAAGATAAGTTGCGTTTTATTAAAAATAATAAACATAATATAGTGTGACCACTAAATATAACTTGAGAGATCAACTCATGGTCGCAAGAGATCTGTATCATGGTCATAAGAGATCATTAGTTGTTCATAAAAGATTAACACCATAATATACGCATTATCTTTCTTTCGTTGTAACTTGGAGTTGTTATGAATAATTACTTAACAGGCATGATCACACTTACTATCAATTAAATTTAGACGTTTCATTAAGATAAGTTGCGTTTTATTAAAAATAATAAACATAAGAAAGTGTGACCACTAAATATAACTTGAGAGATCTACTCATGGTCGCAAGAGATCTGTATCATGGTCGTAAGAGATCATTATTTGTTCATAAGAGATTAAGACCATAATATACGCATTATCTTTCTTTCGTTGTAACTTGAAGTTATTATGAATAATTACTTAACAAGCATGATCGCACTTACTATCAACTAAATTTAGACGTTTCATTAAGATAAATTACGTTTTAATTAAAAAATAATAAACATAATAAAATGGTGACCATTAAATATAATTTTGCTAAATATAACTTGTTTACTACACTTTCCTTTTCAATTTCATATGCATCCTCAAGTAAACAAACTTTCAATGTTGGCCGAGCACCCCATTCATCAACAATTGTCAAATAGGACTTTAAATCAAAATCATCCCCTATTGGAGCATACAAAGTCTCTTGCCAAGTTTTATCCAAAACCATTGGCTTGTAACTCATAATAATATTTTTCGGATTATATGATATCTTGCATCGCTGACATATTATTTTTACCAAATCATTATAACGTACTCCTTGGCGATAATGAATCACCCTATCAATTTTCTTCTCCTTAGACTCAAACTCAATGTAAATAGTCAAATCACCCATTGATATCTACATATATTGATCACTTGTAAACAAAAATAAAAGTCATTTAATATCAATCTCTTGCATTTTATAATAGCAACCTCCTACGTTTAATATGCAGATCTCTTATGCTTTATATTTTAAATCTCATATGATAACATAAACATCTCCTATGGTTTCTACTAATATCTCCTGCATTTTAATTTTCAGCAAAAGAATCTCATGCATTTTGTATTAAGATCTCATACGTTTTACTATATAAGTATCTCCTGCATTTTGTACTAAGATCTCCTACGTTTTACTATATAAATATCCTGCTTATACTATCAAATCTCTGTTATGGTTCATCTTTTACTTCAAAACACAAATCTCTTCCATTCTGTACTATTATCTCCTAAGTGTTAATATACAAATCTCCTGGTTCAGCAATCAAATCTCTTTTCTAGTTCATCTTCTTCCTTGAGTCCTCCTTGTCAAAACATTTCATAAAAAAAAAAAAAAAACAGAAGTTGAAGTAATGTATTACTTACTTAGACATCTATGAACTCAATGCATCTATTTTTTTCACGCAATAGAAGTATTTGGAAGCTTGGACTGATCATTGATGAAGGAAATTCGATGGCTTCTTTTTCCTATGCATATGGTTTGATAATATTTTAATTGCAATGAGGCCCTTCAATTTGCACCAATTTTCTAACACAATCATAAATGATGACTTGAATGGCCTGTAGGTCCCACGAGGATCATAAACCAAAATGACAATTTGAAATATTCTCACAGCAAAATGATACTTTATAAAGGACCAAATAATGAATTGACCCCTTAAATGTTTGGTATTAAGCTTCACTATGCTATTTTAATACTAGTATTTTACTTTGACGTTAACTCTAGTTTATAACTCGAGTCAATTAGGTGGCCTAAGTTTTTATTTAAAAATGAAAAAAGAAAGAATTAACATAAATAGTCGATCACTCAATTGCTGAAATATAATATATTATATAGTATGTGTATAACCCTTTATAATCAATGGAGTATAATTTATTCATGCCGGCTTGGAAATTGAACAGTAGTGAATCTGACCGAAGAGAAAACGAACCCAAACCCAAACGCCAGCCCCTTTGAGTATACATGACAAGTGGATCAATACCAGCCCGATAAGAGAGTGGATTGAACCAGCCCGGTACAAGACTAATAAGGGATGAGTGTTGGGTTGGGCTTATTAATCGGTCCAGAGTGTGCTCGATAAACATGTAGTCTAAAGTTTAAGAACATGCAGTCACGTGGAACATTTTGAGTATGCCTAAGATAAATCCAGGTTAATTGTGCTTCTTGGTTAGATTAGACAGCTTGATATCTCCCTTGGGAAGACCTCCCCTTTTGAGTTAATGTGGTATATTGCTAGAAGCGAATCCATGATTTAAAATTTTTGAGTTTTTATTGCAATCTCACATTAATATACAATACTAACTGAGTTCCCAGTTAAATATTTAGTAAATTTTTTAATAAAAATACATGTACGCAAAAGTTACTAGATTCCCGCGAACCCATATGCTGTACTCTAGATACGCCCCTGTCTATTGCCATCACCCAGCCCAATGTTTACTAGTAGTCCCTTTTACATGAGAAAAACTTCTTGGTCCATGAGTTTCATTCATTCAACAAGATATAGAACAGTCTTTTCTTTGGGTTACATGAGAAAAAAGAGTGTTCGCTCATAGAGCTTTGTAATCAGATGCCAGAAGAAAAAAGATAGACCACTGGAGATTACCACATTAAGGAAATTGGTGTTATTCCATCTTTTCTGAGGACAGAAAAATCTAATAAGAGCTTAGACCATCTTGCCTCTGCATTTCTCAGTTGCACTATGACATTTCAAATAAGCTCGTCCACACCGGGAAGGAAACATTCAAAGAGAACATGACTTACCTTCACGACAGACGAAAAGGAAGTTAAACTGTAGTGAGAGATTCTTGATTAAGTAATCAATTTTACTCATTCAAAGACAATCAAGAAAAAGAAGAGTTATCGACATGCTTAATAACCTAATTTTATGGATAAATGTCAGCTTATCAAAGTGTTTCTACTCTATTGATGTGCCTGATTGAACTATATTCGGATAAATATAGGTTAGGAAGTTAAGGTAGGGTTGATAATGTAATCAACTGGTGATTCTCCTGCTCTTGTGAATTCCTGATTAAGAAAAAAAATCTAATTCGGAGGGAAGGGACGATTCAACATATTCATAAGTAAAAAATGGGTGTTTCATGAAATCGTTAGCCTGGTGAAATTAACGCAGAACTACATCATCGGAGTGCACAAATCAACTCCTTACTCTCTTAACTACAACTGCACAACATTAAAAGCTTCAGCCATATAAGAGCAACATTTGATTTAGATGAAGTGCATCCGTTAAAAAGAGAAGATTAGATCAATCACTAGAATTAGCATGAGAATTGAGAAGAGTAAAACTGCCATGATTGAAGCATCAGACGCAGTATGCATTTAAGCTTCAAAGTAGATTTACATCTTATCAGAAATGAATCAAACAAGATTAAGTTCAAGAATATCAGGTACTGATGAGGCAATTATATGGGGCATATAAACTTCCAGCAGTTAGGTCCTCCCCAAGCAACTGCAATTGGATAGCATATCACTACCGATAAAATATATAAGCTCAATATTCTGGTAATTAAAGTGTTTAGTGAGAAAATTTCCGATTTCCACAATTGTCAAACAGCCTAATGCTATACCAAGACTCCGAAAATGAAAACCATATAGATCGGCCAAAGTGCTACAACAAATATACTACTATGAAAAACTTGATAATGAGACAATCCAAGAGATAATACTTTATCAATGAACACAGAAGTTAAAACCGCAAAAATATCACCAAATTCTCAAATAAAACCAGATCACAACTCAATCTCAGCTGAGCATACAGCTCTACCGTCTCTTTTCACCAATTATTCACAGCCATAAATTGACTATCGAATTTTACTTCCAAACAATTTTAGTCATTATTTAAGTTGGGAATGTAGAACACTTATCAACCACCAATAATTTCAATTAAAATCTCCATAACAGCAGACAAATAAAATTTCAACAAGATTGAGAGCTCAGATGTCATACCACAAAACAAATAATGCAAGTGATTTAGCAACTGCAGAAAAAGGAAAGAGAGAAATGATGGGAAGCCACAGGAATGGGTGGCATAGGAAAGAATTCAATTTATATTATTAAAACATTAATATATGATATCTTTCCAACCCACCTACTCCTAAAGCTCCCCTAAACATCCATCCCCTTTCCACTTCCTACAAAATTTCACAAGCTTTTCCCTTCATCACTACTCATATTCTCTCTAATTAATAAATAAACTGCTACTGAGCTATATATAGACTTAAACTGAAAAAAGATGGTGAAGAAGCGGCAGCGTGGAAACTGGAAACCCTAATTGCGTGTGGTTTATAGAATGCGAAAAAAAGTGTACGTTTTAACCTCCTATGTTTCACTTTGAAAACTTAACTCCAAAGAGTACTCCAATAACTTAACTTTATGAAGCAAACTGAAAATAGTTTTCTAATTCAAATTCAATAATCATGCAGGTTTTACCTATATAATCCTTGTATCCTACTCGAAATATCCCACCTTTTGTTATTAGCAAATAGAAATTATGTTTAAAAGAACGGAAAAGGTCTAGATATGCCATTACACTCTACGAAATTGTATATATTTGTCTGTCGTTAAAAGGTGGACTCAGTCCTGCCCTTGTCGTATATATGGTGGGTCACATATGCCTTTTTTAACGGACCTCACTAATAAAAATTTTAGCACCAGATTTTGATATGTGTTACAATCTGGTGCATTCCATCTATAATTGATTTTAAATAATAAACCAATCCGACCCATCACTCTTATTTTATTAAAGCGCAGAGACCCGATATTCTTTTTTAATAAACCTCAATCTTATTTTATTAACTCACTCTCGCACCTCGCTTTCTTCTCCCAATTTCTCCTCAGACCACATCACAAAGCTGGACGTCTAGGGTTTCCTTTTCAGAGACAATTCAAAGGTTAGGATGTTTTTTCAAGGTATGTTACCTTTCTATCTTGTTTTCTTTTTTCTATTTGTGGGTTAGAGCTTGTTTGTTTGTATTTTATATGTGGGGTTAGGGTTTCTTGTCTTATGATGGGGTTGTTGTTTATTGATATTTTTTTTGTACTTTATCATACTAAAGAATAAAATAAAGTGAATATTATTTTGTAATTGATGATTTTGTTATCTGGTTGTGGTCCTGCATTGAAGTCGTTTGTTTTTAGTTTTTTTTAATACTCGAACTTGTGTTTGCTTATGGATTTCTACCTACTGTTATGGACCCTCACTTGTCCCTCTTTTTATGCCTTTGCATGTGATACAAACTGAAGATGATTGCTAAAGTGGACCTGGTATTTCACTATGGGGATAATTAGGTATTTTTACCTGAAATAGTGTGTGATCAGAAGCATGTGTACACTCTCTGTGGTTGTGATTCTTGCCTTATCAACTATAAAAGTCTTTGTGAAGAATTTACCAAAAATTTAGGATTTAGCTCAGTCGAGCAACTTTTAGTGACTTGACCTTCGGGGACGTACTACCTGGTAACTGACGATGATGGTGTGAGGACTCTTCAGTACTTAATCTCTAAAGAGTTCAATATGATTAACTTTTTTTGTTGTGGGTGAGTTTGAAGCTAGGGTGTTTGCTCAAAATATTATTCATCATAAAGAGAAATATTCTGTAGATATTGATGCAGCTTCTGAATGTAAAAGTAGTTAGGGTGGTGGTATTTTTGATGATTCAGAAGGTTCTAAATATGATTATTCAGAACTTGAAGCTATTAGTCTAGAAAAAAAAGGGTTGTAACTGATAGGTTAGAACATTTTAAGGAGCTGGAGTTAGGTATGACATTTAAGGATATTGAAGAAGTTAGAAGGACAGTGAACTTTTATGCAATGGCTAATAGAAGAGGATTGTAGGTGATCAAAACTGATTCAACAAGGGCTAGCTACAGGTGTGCTACTGGTTGTCCATTTAGATGTTATATCTCACAGGATGGCAATAGTGATAGCTATCAAATGAAGACATGGAAAGATATCCATACATGTGATCCTTGCTTCAAAAATCCTAGGGCTGATTAGAATATTTTAGCATACATATTTAAGAGAAAAATGCAATATAATCCCCAGTATAGCCTGAAGAAAATAAAAGATGATTTAGAGACTGAGTTTGAATTAAATGTGTCAATGTATAAGCTTAAAAGGGCCAAGAATTTGGCACTTAAGAAGTTACATGGCAGTTTTGTTGATGACTACAAGAAACTTGAGGCCTATGGGCAAGAACTTAGACAATCTAATCCTAGCATTGATGTTGTAATTAATATTTCTAAAGATGCTCTTGAAGAAGGGAAAAAAAAGTTCTTAAGGATGTATATATGCTTCAATGCATTGAATATGGGTTAGAAAGATGGCTTGAGACCACTTATTGGGATGGATGGTACTTTTCTTTAGGGAAGATATAAGGGCCAGTTGCTAGTGGCTATTGGTCAAGAAAGCATGAATCATTTTTACCCACTTGCATGGGTTGCGGTAGACAAGGAAAATGCTAGAACTTGGGGATGGTTTATTGAGCTTCTGAAGCTTTCTTTGGATCTAAATGATGGTCATGGAGTTACTTTCATCTCACATATGCAAAAGGTATTACTTTTATCTTTTATTTGTTTTCTTTTTCTATTCTGTCCAATTTTCTTTCTCACATTTATGTTTCTTTTGTCAACATGGTTTACTTGATGCTGTGAGGAATGTACTTCCTAATGCTCACCACATATTTTGTGTGAGACATATTAAAGCTAATTGGCAGAAAAAATAGAGAAGTGGACAGATGAAGAAACTTTTGGTGCAGTGCTTGGAGCACTTATGAAGAAGATTTTAAAGATCAACTTACCAAGCTGGGTGAGATATCTGATGATGGTGCTGCTGTTAAAGACCTATTGCATTATCCACCCCAAGCTTGGTGCAGAGCATATTTTGATACTCAGTGTAAAAATATGATGGTTGATAATAATTTTACTGAATCATTCAATGCATGGATTCTGACAGCAAGACATATGCCAATCATCAAGATGTTAGAGGAGATAAGGATAAAGGTTATGAATTTGTTGGCTACAAATAGAGATAACATTAGTAAATGGAATGGTGACTTCAGTCCAACTGCTTTGAAGTTGTATAATGACTATAGGGCAATAACATATTATTGCAATGGTAACTTTGAATATGAAATCAGTGAAGGTGATGATAGACATATTGTGGACCTTAAAAAGAAAAAATACACATGCAGAGTATGGCAATTATCTCCTGATGTTTTCAAGAATATGGGCAGACCTAGAGTGAAGAGAACCAGGGAACCAGATGAAGCAAGGAAGAGGGTTGAGGAGTGGAGTTACTTAAGAAAGGGAATTGTGATGACATACATCAATTGTGGTAGGGAAAACCACAATGTTAGGGGTTGTTTCTAGGTAAAGAATTCTAATTTGGCTTCTATAATTTGTCACAGCTTTTAATATATTTTTTGGGTGCTAGGAGAAAACTAATGCAGACGCTTCAAAATCAAGCAAAAAGAAACACCAGAAAGGTGGTTCAAGTCAGACCTCAGCTCCAAAATTTTCACTTGTATCTGCTGCTTTTGAAGATGAAAGAATGGACTTTGACAATGAACTTGTAACACAACATAAACAAGAATCCTCTTATGCCACAACTGATTTATCACAAGGCTATATTCTTGTTATTGGTACTGATGAAGATCCATCTATGAGGCCAATGGTTATTGCCGAATCAAAAACAAGTCTTGCAGTTAGAAAGTTGCATGTAAGGCCACCAACAGGAACAAGAAGAATTTAATTTTTTGAAGATGCAGATGGAGTAGCAGTGCCATCAAATTTTTCTTACTCACTAACTAAGGCAATTTGGAAGGGGAAACCAACTGTCACACACAAGCAGATCCAAGATGAAGCAAGAAAAAAGAAGAAATTGAGGATGATATCAAATTGTGAAGTTTAGCGGCTTTAGGAACCTTTTTGGGGCAGATGACTTTTTGTTAAAAACTTACATTATGGATGAAATTGTGGTTGATGGTTTTTGGTGAATTCAAACCTCTTCTATTTGACTTGAAATGGTTTTATGCAAATGAATATTGTTCTGGTTGTTATTCTGGTTGTTGGTTTGTAGCTGTTGGATTCTATTTGACTTAAAATGGTTTCCTTAAGCAAGCATGTGTATGTTTGTGGTTTTATTGTATAGGTTTCGAAAGAACTTATATGTGCGGAAGGCATATTTGATCAAAATCGTTTAGTTAAAGGGCATATTTGATCAGATTGCATTTACACACTGTTAATAAGTGAACCAATTTTGCTGAAACTCGTTCTAAGCTGTACATTATTAGCTCAAACCATCATTTTGGGTTAAATATTTTATCTAGGTTATTGCAAACTCATTATATTAAGATCAAACCATTACACAAGTAAAAATTACATAAAGTCATTACATTTGATTCATTCATATAGTCATAAAATATGATTACATTACATTCAATATTCAAAAGCTACATAACTTAACTATATAATACATAACCAACAATAAACCCAACAAGGAAGTACAATAACATAACAAATACATTCTCTCTCTTCTTTGCATATCTCCCATCATTTTCAGTAAAGGAAGGGAGATTATCAATAACAGAAGATGCCTCCAAATCAGCAACTATATCCCTTAATGATTTAGTTTCAAGCTGAACAACAACAACTTTTTCCACAAATACATGGTTTATCTATTAAAAAAATTATCTTTTTTCTTCAAGTAATCATTTTCACCAACAAGAGTATCTTTTTCCCTTTTCAAATTGTTGATGACAATAGTGGCTCTTGGATGAAATTCGTCATCATCCCATTTCTAATAGCCGCATGATATTGGCTGCAACATAACATCTAAATCTGATTATAATTCAAAAATCAAAAACCCTATAAACACAAATCTAAAAATTTAAAAGAAAACAATAACTTACATCAAATTTATAACACCTAAAGAAACGTCTCCCGGGATTTTCAGAAGTCAACGAAGTGAGATGGAGCGCAACATTTCCACATTGATAATTCCTTATACGTCGGTTAGAAGAGCTCGATGTTTGTGATATTTCATGAACGAAGAAAAAAATAAAGGACCAAGGTTGTTGGAACTCAACGACTAAACCCTAAGTAATTCTGAAAATGGGTCAACGATTTGGGGGGAAACCCTAATGGAGCAGCTATGGTCGATTTAATAATATAAGAGTGATGGGTCAAGTTGGTTTATTATTTAAATCAGGGTATAGATGGAATGCACCAGATTACGACACGTGTCAAAATCTGGTGC